CCCCTAGTAGTCTGGAGGCTTGAAAGCATTCTTGGGACACTTCGGGGGGCTTTAGAAGAGATCTGGGGCTATTGAAAAGGCACAATACCCTGGCAGAGGTTCGCCCTGGATGACTGTGGCCTGCTAGGTGTCTCATTTACAGCCCTGAATCACAACCGAATGGGCACACCTTTGGGAAATACAGAACACTGGGTGCCATAAGCAAAGAGATGTTCTTGTCTACCAGCCTTTTGTACAAAAATATTCTTTATATATGACACTCGTAAGCTGCAGTCCTTAAGCCCCATAAATCAGCCTCTTCTGCTTTCATGCAACCACTGAATATGGTTGTCTAAACCCTTATGTCCATGTTATCTCAAGGGGCATCTCATAGAAGTAAGTGGGGCTTAAGTTAGTTGTTAACTCCCATTGAGTAAAATAGGTCTACTCTGAACACAAGTAAATCGGGACAGATCCCAATGCCTGCAGATCTTGTTGCTGACAAAGGCAGCATGGAGCCATTGAGTAAAATAGGTCTACTCTGAACACAAGAAATCGGGACAGATCTCAATGCCTGCAGATCTTGTTGCAGACAATGGCAGCATGGAGCCATTCAATACACACAGAGAGAGAGAGAGAGAGATTACTGTAAAGATTTAATGCCTACATAAGAGCCTGTTAATTTTAATAGGAGGTTGTCCACTCTTTAACTTACCCTAATCTTTTGCACAACGTTCTCACGCTAAAACTCCCCTCTTCTTTTACTTTATGGCTAGAAATGTTCATGGGCTTTTTTTTCTGCTCCCTGTTTTCCTGTATTCTTACCAAACGGCTGTTCAGGACATGGGAATCTTGCCATTAAAAAAAAAGTGGTTGGCAATTCCGTTTAAATAAAACTATTTCCAGAGCCAATATAGCTTTGCAAAAACATTATTTATGGGTTTGTGACTCTGACAGTGGCCGAAAACCAGCAATGCAGCCTGTGAAGCTTCTCCCTTGTTGGTGGGGTGGCCGTGGGGGGGAAAAAACAGGGTAAAGATGAAAGAATTCTGCTATGGAAGAGGAGAAGTGAACATGATGATGATGATGATGATGATGATGATGATGATGATGATGATGATGATGATGATGATGATGATGGAGGAAAAGGACTGAACCCACCTTACTTGCACCCCTGCAAGTTTACTCAAAAGTTCTTGGCACTGAATCGAATCGGAATTTGCAAGCAGATGAAGGCATGATTTCACCGGCTCTGATCGGAGGGTCTTACGGCTGGTTTGTCTCTCTCTGCCTAATTTTGGCTTTACAACATCCCTGTAAGGGAGGCAACTTTTGCAACTCTGGCGCATCCGTCTTTAAAAGGAACTCCTCCAGGGCGAAGGAGACAACAGCTCGGGGGACAGCCGGTCTTTTTTTTATTATTCCGGATTGAATTCGGAGCCACTCTCTTGTCGCCTGTTTTATTTGCCCGGAGGCGCCGCGCGGTGAAGGATGATGGCTGGGCAGGGGGGCCAGAGCGCCGTCCGGCCGTAATTCATGGCTCCGGGGAATGAATGGCGAGCTCCAGCCCCCGGTGAGCTGGGATGAGCCGGTGATTATATTTAAATTTGCTATAATTGATTTGGGGGAAGCGCCGCGCTGACAGGAATGAATTGATCATTAAATTTATTAGCCAGATAAATTCCATGGCTATTAAGAGGCTGGAGAGGAGATGGTTCTGCTGAGTAAGATTTTAGAGATTATGCTTAAAAACGCGGAGGGTAGAAAGGAGTCCTCCTCCCACTTCCGTTTGACAGTAGGTGGGAGGTCTGATCCACAAACTATTTGAGCCGGAATGCTTAGGCTTGTTGAGAAAGTGTGTGTGTGCACGCACCTTTTTTTTTTAAATCAATTTTTCTTTTAAAAAACCAAGTTTCATAATCCAAGGGTACTGTTGCCATTTTGCTCTGCTTTGTAAAGTTGGGGGATTCATTTTGAGAGTTATGCCTCTAAATATGATTTGTTTTATCCATTGGGAACAGGAGGGAAGGAAACCCAGTCCTTTGGCAAGACCGGGCAAGGCCCCCCCGACTGTGCCTATTGGACCCCCAAAGAAACCAGAGGTTAAGTGCTTCACTTATCCACTGTTTCCAGTATCCGCAGAGGAAATGTTTATTCATTACTTCAGACAAATATCCATGCTAGCTCCAAGACCGTATCTCTCAGTTAAGATAATCAGGAGATTTTTATTTATTGCATTTATACCCCGCCCACCTAGTCAATTGAGATACCTTTCTTTCCATCCCACCACCTTTACAGATGTTCCTGATGGGGACACTTGGGAGGGCCTTCTCTACAGCTGCTCCCAGACTCTGGAACTCCCTCCCACAGGAGGCCAGGCTGGCCCCATCTTTGCTGTCCTTCTGCAAGCAGGCAAAGATCTGTCTCTTCAGGCAAGCTTTCTCTCAGCGTCTGGCTAGCTACCTTAGTGACTTTTGGATGGATTGTTATGCATTACTGCTCTGACTGGGATGCAAGTACTACTTGTGTTTACCGTCTCTCAAAGTGGTATTTGTTTTATTCCTTTTTAATATTTGCATACATTTTTAAGCATTAAATATTGTCATTTAATAATGCAATCTACCATTGTATAGTCATTGTTTTCAGCTTTAAATGTTGTAGGCCGCCTTGAGTCCTTTTTTAAGGAGAAAGGCAGGGTAAAAATATTTTACTTCCATAGACAGACAAATAGATAGGAAGGATGGAAGGAAGGAAGGACAGAAGGACAGACAGATGGACAATAATGCTGGTAAAAGTTGAAGACAACGGGAAAAGACCAGATATGGGACCAAATATGAGATGGACTGACTACATAAAGCCAAATCCTTGAGTCTGTAGGAGCTGAGCAGGGTAATTTGGAAGACCTCTATAAATCAGAGGTTACTTGACATCACAAAACAGCAATAGGGAAGATGATGGTTGTTGTGGGTTTTTCAGGCTTTTTGGCCGTGTTCTGAAGGTTGTTCTTCCTGACGTTTCGCCAGTCTCTGTGGCCATGGGCATCTTCAGTCTCTTTCGCCACAGAGACTGGCGAAACGTCAGGAAGAACAACCTTCAGAACACGGCCAAAGAGCCCGAAAAACCCACAACAACCATTAGATCCCGGCCGTGAAAGCCTTCACGAATACAAATAGGGAAGATATCTTCCAGATATTATCAGCTCTATCTAGCATAGACAATGATGAAGGATCAAGGGAGTTCATATTTGGATATTAACTATCCAACAATATTTGGAGGTCACATATCGAGAGACAAGATGAAAAAAGAGGACAAGCCTGGCTTTTGGGAACGAATTGGTTCACTTATTACCCTTTTATCACGCGTTCCTTCCAGGGGAAGAGACCAGCATTTGATCGTTGGAGCAGACATCATTCCGGGAAGTGGTAATGTTGGAGGGAGAGCAGCCTGACCAAGGTCTTCTACCTTGAGGAACGCTCTGGTTGAGTAACAATTCAGCTTTGTGTCTGTGTGTCTGTGTAAAATAAACCCCCATTGCATAACCTACTTCAGTACCCTGACTTAAACGTGACTATGTCAGGTAGCCTTTTAAATAAAAATAGGTAGACACCAACTCAATGGTCATGACATTTTGGTGACATGCACTTTGCTTGTGCTGTCTAAATTCTTGCAGATTTTTAAATGGTTTTGTACAGGAAGGTAGATGCAGAGATAAGGGATGTGGAACAGACTTTACTATGCACAAAGGAGTACTGTTTGCTCAGCTTGCATTTTGACAGAACTGACACAAGTTCCCCCTTTCTATCCAGTTATTGAACGACCCTAGAAACAGCTGGTATGCTTAATTGTGAATCCAGCAAAACACACACACACACACACACACACACACACACACACACACACACAGACAAAAAAACAGGGAAACACCTTCACTGCTTCTTTGCTTCAATAAGTCTTCGCATTTCTCATGTACAAAACACTTTATTTTACATACCATTGGAACATTGGGAGTAACCAATTAATAACTTAGCATGCATAAGTAGAGGCATTTCTCTTTTTTTTATAAATACAATATACAAAAATAAAGATAATACAGTCCTTCAGAGGTTCCCAGCAGTTTCAACATTTGTAGTGTATATTTTTCCCCAGGCTGCTTGCTATGGAATGAGCACAAAAACTCTCAGTGCTGTTGAACAAAACGGGCAAAGAATCTAAGGGTGTCCTCTTTCAACACCATAGTTCAGTCACCTGGCTCTCTTTTACAGAATGAGACAAGGAAGCAGTAATCAGAAGCTGGATGGTGTAATTTAGGGTGACTTCACCTTCATGCCAGGTTTAGTCTCATTTTCACTGAATAACACCTGAACCCACAGAGAAGAGAATACAGAAAATGCAAAACCCATAGATTGATTAAGCAGGAGTCCATGAAGCCTGCAGCCTACTTTATCTATGGGTCAGGTGCTTCCAACTTTACAGTGAAATCTTGACTTGGGGATTTGCAGGTTGTAGGATTAGCCCCAGGGTACTAGGATAAAAGCTCTTCCACCAGCAAAATGTTATTCTGTTGGCTAATCTCAAAGATTGTTCTGCTGGCTGAGATCTGCCAGCAGAAAGACAAATGGAGGCAAGGAAAAAATGGGGTGAAGTTTCTCCAGATCAGGTCTCTTCCACCCTGGGGACGTGGCCATAATACTGGCACAAAGTTAGGGCATGATAAGGACTGTCCTAAGTAGTTTCCAGAGTGGAAGAGGTTGAGTATCACCAAAGCACCGAAGCTTCAAGTAGTCTCCTTTCAGTTCAGCTGGTCCGGGACCATCTTAGTCCCTTGGGATTGCATTCTAAGCCCCATAGCATGAGACAGGTAGACTTCTGTAGGGTAGGCTGAGCAAAAAGCAGGGTTTACAGAGCTTAAAGAAGTTATTGTTTTGATTCCCAGAATCCTCCCACAAGCCCTGTTAACTAGGAGATTCTTTGCAGCACCCTAAAGTAACATTGTCAGAGTAAGACCGGATGGGGAGATGGTAGACCTGGGAAGGTAGCCAGGTAGCAGAGTCAGTTGGTTTAGATCTGTTATGCGTCATGGAGTTTGTGGCTGGTGGAAATAGGGACAGCAGTGGCTGCAGGTGGCATTTGGTCCACAGAGGACTTTAGATAATGAGGAGCAAACTTCTTGATGGTGGAGGCAAGTCCTTGTTTTAAGACTTAAAGCAAGGAAGGGAACATTTGCTCTCCAGGTCCCATATATATTCAGGGAGCTGGGGCAGAGGGCAGTTGTGCGTGGGTCCCCCCATGCCTGCCATGAGGCGGCCTCCCTTCCTCCTCCCCATCAGAGCAGTCAGGAGAACCATAGGGGCAACAGTGTCCAGGTCGGTCTCCTTCGTCATCTTCATCATCATCCTCCTCCTCGTCTTCTATCTCCTCTTCTGGGTCACTGTCCCTCAGCTCCCGCAAGCGGCGACCCCCATTGCTGCTTTTCTCGGGGGGCCCAGATGGCTGCGGCATCTCATCGCCCACTTTGTCTTCCCCGACACTTTGTCCTCCTTTCTGCTTCTCTGCTTCCTGGGCTGCCTGCTCTTTGGCTTTCTTGCTCCGCTTCCACTTCATGCGCCGGTTCTGGAACCAGATCTTCACCTGCAGAGAGAGAAAGGAAGAAATGGCACACGTATGGAAGATCATGCACAGGAGCAAATCTTGAATGTGAAAACTTTGGGGTGGGGAATACCCTGAATCAAAGCATAATTAGACCCAGGATTCATTACAGCTAAGATCTTACATTAAGCATATTCCCATTCCACTGTTAGCAAAGAGCTGAGTTTGGAAAAGTTATTTTGGGGGACTGCAATTCACACAATCCCCCAGTCACCCTGGCCATCCAGGTTCTGCTGAGAAACCATAATCAGCCCTATGATTATGAATTCCTCTGTTTCTTCAGCTGGTAGGAACCAGGATTCCAATTCCTAGGGTGTCGTGAAGCATAGAATAATAGAGTTGAAAGGGGCCTATAAGGTCCTCAACTCCAACTCCCCCACTGCTCAATACAGGAATCCAGATGGTTGTCTAATTTCCTCTTTATTCCCTCCACCACCTTCCAAGGTAATTGGTTCCATTATCATACTGCTCTAACAGTTAGGGAGTTATTAAAATATTTTAAATAAATACATTTTTTCCTGATACTCGACCAAAATCTGGCTTTCTATAATGATTACATGTCTTGCACTCTGGGATGATTGAGAATAGATCCTGCCCCTTCTCTGTATGGCAGTCTTTTGTGTATTTGAAAAGGGCTGCCCTATCTCTCTCCTCAGTCTTCTTTTCTCAAGGCTGAACATGGGCATTTCTTTCAGTCTTTCCTCACTGCGTCTGATTTCCAATCCTCTGATAATCTTTGGTGCTCTCCTCTCAACATCTTTGTCAGCATCCTTCTTAAAGTGCAATGTAAGAACTGGATACACCACGCAAGATGAAGCCTAACCAGGGCCAAATACAAGGGAGCTACTTCCTGGGATTTGGAGACTATACTTCTGCTAATGCACCCTAAAATATCATTTGCCTTTTTTTGCAACCACATCACATTGTTGGCTCATATTCAGCTACTGGGCTGCAATAATCTTACTGTGCATAAGAGTTCATCTGTCTTAACTTCTGAGTTTGTGTCTCCCTCCCTCTTCCAGTTCAGTGTAAAGTCCTCTTGATGAAGTCCTTGGATTTGGAGACTATACTTCTGCTAATGCACCCTAAAATATCATTTGCCTTTTTTTGCAACCACATCACATTGTTGGCTCATATTCAGCTACTGGGCTGCAATAATCTTACTGTGCATAAGAGTTCATCTGTCTTAACTTCTGAGTTTGTGTCTCCCTCCCTCTTCCAGTTCAGTTTAAAGTCCTCTTGATGAAGTCCTCGTGCTGTGATGAAGTTCTTCATGTCTCTCATGTTGGTACCACCTTCATAGCCTGTTGTTCACCTGGAGTTTTCCCCATCCCCCTTTCTATTTATTTTATTTATTTATTTATTTATTTATTCAATTTATATGCCACCCACACTACCCAGAGGTCTGAATATTGGTAGGATGGACAGGAAGACTATCTGTGCCCCAAAGTCCTTGAGTCTCCTTCTGAGAGCTTCTATGTCTGATGCGATTTATTTGTTGTTCCTCTCGGCTGTGCCATTTCTTCCCACGTGGATGAGAAGAAAGGGATATGCATTTGTCAGTTTCATGAAGCTATTCTGCCTTTTAATTTGGTTTTTATAGGAGCTATCCAGGGTGCAAAACACCATGCTTTAAATAGGTTCAGCATCTTAACATTCAGACTAAAACCCACAGTGGATTCAGTCTAAATAACCCATCACTACTTTGAGCAATTCTTTGCACTCCTGCTCTGGAGTCTCCTACCTCTGCAGGACTGGAGAACCTACAAGCCTTCAGATATTGCCATATTAAGCTTCCATCAACCCCAACCAGCCCCACTCCATAGGTAAGCATGAGAGGAGTTCCATAGTATCTGCAGAGGCCATTGGTGCTTAGGCAGGAAAAGGCAGGAGACTCTGGAAGTTTTTTTGAAGAGTATTGCAGGAAAACAGGCATGCTTGTAGAACCTCTTCATTCCAGAGGTTAAGTAGAATAAGTAGCAGAAACTTATTCTGCAATGGGTCATTATAGTTGTTGACTCCCCTCCTAAGAAATATCCATTTACTGCCAGTCTGGCAGCAAACCATTCACCTAGGACACACCCAGTTGTGTTTGATTTTGAAAGCCAACCAGGATCGGGCCTGGTTAGTATGTAATTGGGAGACAATGTGTGATTGCCACAAATCTCTACCTAGTAATAGTAAACTGCAACTAGAGTAGGCCCATTGAATCAATGGAACTTACAGCGGAGTTCTCATAAAATCCCCATTGGTTCAATGGGCCTCTTCTAGTTATGATTTACTGTTGGATTTCAGCTGCTGTATCCATGGCTGGAGAATGTGAGCAGAAAGGGTGCTATTGTCTTCATACTGCATATGAACACTGTGATGTAGAAGGAGGTTGGCCTGCGCAGCAATAGAATGCTGAACTAAAAAGGCCTTTGGTCTGATTCAAAGGGTTTTCCCCTTTCCATTCTTCTGCATGCTATATGATGGACAGTCATAGCTGAATCTGGAAACAAGAGTTCTGGGTACTAGAGTGACACAGAGTTGTGGATTAATTTGGGAGTTCACCATTCGTATTGGATGCAATGTGATTCCCATCCTAGCCTACAGCTTCCTCCTTCTTTCCTTCCTTCCTCTGGTCCTGCCTCTGCTGACCCTTTTATAGGACATAAATGCAGGAAATAATAATAATGAAAGCCCAGCACTAAGGGTGATCTAGCACTAATCTTATACATGTAAGATTTTAAAAAAAAAATCAGAGGGTGATTGGGGAAGAGGAAAAAATGGGGGGGGGACAGTTTTCCTGTCCTGAACATCTCTCCCCAACTGTCCAGATCACCAAAACGCAATCTAGAGACATGCTTCCCCACCCCCCACATCTTTACAATAATGTATCACAATTAATCACATGGGGAAGCCTGTTTGAATTCTTCTGGGCTTGAAAAAGTAAATGCCCCCAGTGGCAGAGGGGGAGGGGAAAGGCCACTTTGGGAGCAAAAAGGGTTGGACTGATTTGAATTGGCGCCTGTGACCAGTAAAAATTACAGGCAAAAAGGGTTGGACTGATTTGAATTGGCATCTGTGATCAGTAAAAATTACTTTGAATTCACCCATTTTATAAACAGAGCAAACTCCTCGGTATTTGACCACATTGTCACAGCCTTACTTCTGTGTAGGCATGCATGGTAACTCCATAAAATCCAGCTTCAGCTCTTTAGAAAAGGTATGCAGATCCTGTGGCCCTCCAGTGGCTGGATTCTGACTCCCATTAGCTTTAGCCTGTATGGCCAATAAGGCAGAAGCAATGGGAATGGGGTGTGTGTATTTCTACAATATCTGGAAGGTCACCACATTTTGACCTCTGCTGGTACAGGAAGGATGGAATATAAATAAATCAATGCTTCTATTCAGCTTTTTAAATAAAATGCCTTAAGCTTTGCACAGTCAGGATAACTATTTTAAAAGAAAATTATTTTCATCCTTCCTTTCGATAACCTGGATGGAAAGAGCTTTGTCAAATGTGTAGCTGGAAGCCCTTAATTGTCCTAAATTGGACAAAAGCCCTAGGCTGACGAGATATGGAAAAGCATTAGGCTGATAGGTTGTGGATAGTGGATTAGCTAGAGGGGTCATTAATTCAAGAAGGATCCATGCTTCTTTACTGTAAGAAGGCTTCCCAACCAGCACCCAGAGGAGCAGGAAGGTTTGAATGCAGATCCTCGTGGGAGATCCATTTTGCTAGCATGCCTTGTGCTCCTCCTGGTTCTCTCTCCTCCAACCCCCACCTCTCTTCCTTGGTCTCTTGAACCTTTTCTTCCTTCCATCCAGCAAGATACTGACCTGGGTCTCTGTAAGCATGAGGGAGGTGGCCACCTCAAATCGCTTTGGTCGGGAGAGATACTTGTTCAGCTTGAACTGATGCTCTAGTTCCAGCAGCTGCTGGCTGGTGAAGGCAGTTCGGGGCCGTCGGCATTTGCCCAGGAGATTGGACTGCGCTTGGGCTGAAAGAAAAAGAAAGAGAGGGAGGGGGGTAAAGAGAGGCGTGAGAGAGAAAGAGGAGGAAAGGGGGGGCTGAGCCTTTCTTGGCTTCCACTCAGGGATGGACAGACTCCTCTTCTGCTGGAAACTGGACTAGAACTCCAGCATAAAAGAAAGAGTGATCTGAGCCTATGGCTGGGCATGAAATCTACACGCAGGGGAGGGGGGGTTGCAGAAAATGATCATAGCCGGAAGACAAGGAGAGGTCTGACATTCTGTTCTCTCTTATTTACATTAAGAGATTTGCATTCTGAGATTGTTCGTAGATCTGACATTCTGTTCTCTCTTATTTACGTTAAGAAAATTAATTCTGAGATTGTTCATAAAAATATCTAAAAATGCTAACTACTGGCTGTAACCAGACGTGTGGAATCGGATCAAGCCCATGTCTTCTGCTCGTTAATTCTTGCCTTTTCCCTTCTGCCCATGAAGAAGCATCAGTGGCAACACCTTCAGGGCAGAGGAACCTGTCCTTTTGGCCTCTGCAAAGCCCAGCATACACTAGGGGCACAATTAATTCATAAAAATCAAGTACGTAAACTGCAGCCAAGCTTTGGGTCTTTCGAAGCAGGGCTTTCTCCTCTCCTATCCTGTGGTATGCAGCATCTGTACATTGATTTTCTTTAGCTCCACCCATCTCTTTTGTCTTTCCCTTCTTTGTTTAATATTATTGTTTGGGTTTTTTTAGCTGTATGAACTCAGGGCTGTTGCTGCCACTGTTGTTTCACAAATGGAGGATGCATGCTGTGATCAGGTTTTCCCTAGAATCCTGAACTCCTTTTAATCCATTTGGAAATCTGCAAATACTGCAGGTATATTCTATCCCGTTTTCCTTTCTTTTAACTGTGCAGTTTTGACTGTGAATGGCAAAGCTTGCAGTTGCAGACAGCTGCTAGTAGGGAACAAGTCTTCTAAGATATGGTGGGCTTTACTTCTGAGCAAAGATGCCCTGGATTATTCTGTGCATGGAGAATGGGAGCAGGTTGTAAGCATCGGCAGCTGAAGCATATTGTGACAAAGGGAGTATTTCAAAGCATTGGACTTTTCCAGTCCATGATACCATTTTGATGGCCAAACATTAGATGCAGGAAAACAAATAATCCAGGGCTGGGATGTGGAAAAATTGCCCTTCCCCAAGATGTTCATGGGCCACAGTTCTCATGATTCTTCATCACTAGTGATGCTGTTAGAGGGTGATAAAAAATACCCACTCTGGAGAGAGTAGTAGAGTTTTGGGCCCAGTGAATAATGAATGGTCTTTCTAAAAAAATTACAGCATGTTGATAGATTGTACTTAGGTGATGGTGTTGATTTATCATAGAAGAGGAGGCTGTGTTTAATGTATTCTCGAAGTAGGTGTTAAATATAGAAAGATGTACTGTATTTACTTCATCCGTATCACTAACATCCACTCCCACCATCAAAAAAGCTTGATATAAAAGCTAATGTCAAATAGCAATGGCACATGGAGGTTGCAAATCAAAGTTCAAAAGAAAAGTGTTAAAGCAGAGCGTGTGAAGTGGATAGGAAATGATGAGTATAAAAGGAAGCAAACACACCCTTCGTCTAGAGGGACCGATCTGCTACACAAGGACACCATCCCGGCAAATCACGGAGCTTTTAGGAATCTAGATAGCTGGTTTTCTACCACTGGCGTATCTAACCCGGCGTTGCCCCTCTGCAAGGCACGGGTTTGTTTTTTTTTCCCCAAGGATGTCAAGCAGCCCTTCCCAGAGATCCCTGGCCACTGCAAGATATCTCCTTGCTTAGCTTCCGGGAAAAAAAATCAGACAGATTCGGGGTGGGTTGGGTTCACTACGGTATCCGATCGCTTTTACCTTCTGCAGGGGAGAACCTTAGCGCATCTTTTACTTTGCTTTTCCGGCTCCCTTACGCGCGTCCAATGAACCGGAAAGCCAGCCGTCGCCCGGCCTCCAGAAGACTGTCCTCCGTGCATGGCAGGGAGCCGATCCTGCACAGGTTTGCCTGGGCAACACAGACGCCTTTATCGCCATCCCGGGCGCGGGAGAACATTAGGGTTAAGCGAGCCACATAAAAGGGCCGCTTCTCTCCTCTTTCCCGACATGCACT